GGGCATATAGGGCTAGACCTATATATTTACAGACCAATCAATACAAGATGGGTGATGTGGTCAGCATCACGCCGGCTGCCTTTACATCCTAGGACTGCACCCGGTACCCACTCAAGGATGAGTCAATCTGGGAGTCAAGGTCATTTTTAAGAAAAGTCTGGCTCCCCCAGGGAGTGAACCCACGACTCTCCAATCCGCATGTAAGTGTCCAGCCGCTTGTTTATTAAAAAAAATATGTCCAGCCCTATATACCCAAAACGCCTGGAAGGCTTGGAAAAGGATCCTTTACTTTTTTAAAAATATGTGGTCCTTTCATTCTGTTACATGCTTCAGAACAACAATGAAAAATGTTTATCTGAGAAACTGTAGAGCTTGCAACAAAAACAAATTCTTCATTACTATCAGTTTAGCAGCAGAAATTTGATACTGCCCATGAAAGATGGCAGGTGTTTTCTTACATGAGAGAGAGCAGATAAGCAATGTAAAAAAAAAAGAAACTTAACATGAGAGAAGCAATGTAAGAAAAACCTGATAGATAAAATACAGAAGGAAAAAATACTGTAATAAAACAGTGCGATATATAAATTTTTTTTTAAATGTATACATAAAAAGCATGCAAACGATATAGTTTGGGCTGCTTAAGGTGATCTAGGATGTGGCGAATTTCTGTTGTGTAAAACAATTTTGTTTTATTCCTGGCAATTTTTCTTACTTGAACTCTTTTATCTGGAAAAAAGGAATTTCTGATATTATGAATCATTTTCTGGGTCCCTGGTAGGTTCTCCTAATCAGATCTACACTGTATTTTACAAATTACATCGCGCCTGCACCGTATTATGTTACAAATTAATAAGGACTAATTATAAAACAGCACATACACACTACTTAACAGTTGACACCTTTTGCTAATGTTAGCGCCCGTCCATTCCTGATGATAGTGTTCCATTGTGCTATAGGAAAGGCATGGAAATCACAACCCATATTAAAGCAGAACACCTTGGTAGTATCATAGAGACCATGTGGTGCTCATGCAGCATGATCCCTCTCTCAGCCTGTTTTGCTGGCTCCAAAAACTGATAAGACAATGAAGCTAACATCTTGTCTATATTGTGTCTATCTGCAGCCTTCTGTTTGTGTACTTTCAATCATTTCTGGCACAGCTGATCTTTTGTACCATGATGTCAAACTGTCTGGAATGTTCTCTCTTGGTCTCTCTCTGCTTCCTTTTGTCTCTATCTTTCACCCTGTACACAATAAAACAATCATCTTGTCTATTTCATGTCTATCCGCAGCTTTCTGTTTGTGTACTTTCAATCATTTCTGGCACAGTTGATCTTCCATACAATGATGTCAAACTGTCTAGAATGTTCCCTCTTGGTCTCTCTCTGCTTCCTTTTGCCTCTATCTTTCACCCTGTACACTATAAAACAATCATCTTGTCTATTTCATTTATATCCGCAGCCTTCTGTTTGTGTACTTTCAATCATTTCTGGCACAGTTGATCTTCCATACAATGATGTCAAACTGTCTAGAATGTTCTCTCTTGGTCTCTCTCTGCTTCCTTTTGCCTCTATCTTTCACCCTGTACACTATAAAACAAACATCTTGTCTATTTCATGTCTATCCGCAGCCTTCTGTTTGTGTACTTTCAATCATTTCTGGCACAGTTGATCTTCCATACCATGATGTCAAACTGTCTAGAATGTTCTCTCTTGGTCTCTCTCTGCTTCCTTTTGCCTCTATCTTTCACCCTGTACACAATAAAACAAACATCTTGTCTATTTCATGTCTATCCGCAGCCTTCTGTTTGTGTACTTTCAATCATTTCTGGCACAGTTGATCTTCCATACCATGATGTCAAACTGTCTAGAATGTTCCCTCTTGGTCTCTCTCTGCTTCCTTTTGCCTCTATCTTTCACCCTGTACACTATAAAACAAACATTTTGTCTATTTCATGTCTATCCGCAGCCTTCTGTTTGTGTACTTTCAATCATTTCTGGCACAGTTGATCTTTTGTACCATGATGTCAAACTGTCTAGAATGTTCCCTCTTGGTCTCTCTCTGCTTCCTTTTGCCTCTATCTTTCACCCTGTACACTATAAAACAAACATCTTGTCTATTTCATGTCTATCCGCAGCCTTCTGTTTGTGTACTTTCAATCATTTCTGGCACAGTTAATCTTCCATTCCATGATGTCAAACTGTCTAGAATCTTCTCTCTTGGTCTTCCTTTGCTTCCATTTTCCCTCTTTCTTTCACTCTATCATCATGTACTCCACTTGTCTCCTTCTTATGTGACCAAAGAATGTAGACTGTCGAGTAGCTTTTTTTTCTTCTAGCCAATGTATTGTTTGGTCTCCCTTTATTACTGTTACCCTGTTGGTTCCACTTAAACAGCATTCTAGCTATATTACTGTCAGGTTGTCACAATGAGAGTCCTGTCCAATGCCAGCATTTTACCTCATTTGATTCAAAGGAATTTGTTTAATTCTCTTCAAAAGCAGTGTATTAGTTATTCTGTCACACAATGTAACTGATTCACAGGCATATGTTAGTATACTTTTTTATTTCTTTAATGGATGGCAGGCAGTCGAGCCAGGCATGCTTCGTGGCTCAATATGTTGTGATGTTATGAGGTCTTAAGCTGTCAGTGTCTCCTTCAATCCATCTTCTTCTAGTCTCCAGTTTTACCTTGGTCATTGCATTTTAATGATGTATGTATGCTCTTGCTGACCACAAAATTGGGTTCCTCACAAGGTGGACAAAACATTTTGGCTTTGTTTCTCAATATCTTTTATGATGGGTACTATTCCAATAGTTCTTATCCCTTCAATTCTCTCAGGATCTTTCCCTTGTTTTATTTGCAGTCTTTCTAAAATATCTCATTTCACAGGTGGTTATTAAACATTGTTTTAATTTCTGAAAATTAGTAAGAAAAGCATCTAGAATGATTTAAAACAAAAACAAAAACAAAAAAAAAAAGAACATGAATGAAAATAAACAAAGCTTGTCATGGCAAAGTGTGGGATCATTTTTAAAAAGTGCATACAATGGGTGGTATGGTCACTACCCTGCAACATGTGCATACCAAAGTGCAATCAGTTCTACAGTAATGTGTGCATAATGAAGTGTGGTCAGTTTTAAGTAATGTGTTCATACTAAGGTACACTCATTTCCCCAGTAATGTGTGCATCCTAAAGTACACTCATTTCCCCAGTACCAGGTGCATATCAATATTCAGTCAGTTAATTAGTAATGTGTCCATGCTAAAGTATGGTCAGTTCTCCAGTAATGTGTTTCCACTGAAATACCATAGGGTTCCTCCAATGCGTTCCATTGTAATGCAGATTTGCTCCACTATTACTGACTATTAGGGAATGAAATAACTAGGTATGAAGTGGGAAAAACAGCAAAGGTGGTAGAAAAACAAAGTGGAAAAACAGGTCCATCTTAAAAGGCCGTAGCAGAAGAAAGCTTCTAAACTAGGTGAACTGTTCAGACCATACAGAGGAAAACAAGATATTTAGAATTACACAGATGAATAACGTGAGGTAGACATTCATGGTTTTGCTGGGGATGACAGAGGACACCACAGCTGGGGTGAGTTTTTTTAAGGTCTATGCACTAAAAGAGATTAATGAGCTGTAGACGCCTACATTAAGCCATTTATGAATTAATGTAAATCAATCAATGAGTCACTACAAATCAATATCAAGGAGTAGGTCCTTTACAGAAAATCTCTCCCCTTATGGGCCACTCACTGGAAAGCCAGGTAGTCTCCTGAGCACTTTCCTGCCTCAAGAACTTTCAAGCCCAGGATGTCCTTGACATTCTTTGTCCACCATCAATCTGGTCAACCCCTGCCTTTTCTTTCACCACCAACCAGCAGGTCCTTTAAAAACATCACTCTCTTCAGAGCACGCCTGAGCGTCTCCTTTGTACATTCCAAGCCAACGCATCTTCAAGATCCTGTATTCACCTTCACGGAGGACAGCCTCAGCCTCATTCTCTAAAAACTGTGCTCTCCATCATTGCTCTCTGCAGACTGTCTTGACATTTATCATGGCCAAATTACCTCAGTTTTCAGGACAGGATTCTGTTTATGGGCCAACTCACTTCTATGATCAGATCACGCAGGATGTCTGTTTTTCTTCTTCTTGGTCCCCGGCAGGGCTATTCAACTGGTGGCCAAATCTGGCCTACAGAGACCTACCTAGCAAGTGGCCCGCGGATCATTACCAATTGTACTGTATTAATGATCTTTCTATGGTATGGATCAGTCCTCTGGCCATTGACGATCCCCATTTTCAACATTTTGGCCCCTGACTAATCTGAGTTGAATAGCCCTGGTTTAGGGTATTGAAAGAATTTTTCTGTAGCATTTCAGTTCAAAACCTCCAATTTTTGTTCTTCGATGACTGAGTAAGAAACCATGATCCACATCCATCAGCTGCCATGGGGAAGATGCATCATCTCAATATTCGTACTCTAACTGGGGTGCCAGTGCTGTGTCACAGGTTTCACCTTCCAGGAACCAGGGAATTTATTCATATATTTAACTAAAAAACTGCACAATTAACAGAATTTGACTACTGTAGCGAGAAAAGAAACAAAACAAAATAATTATAATTTATTATATGGAACAAATATAAGAAGTAAATAAACACAAGTAGTTAAAATGCTGCAAGAATAGAATATCACATTTAAAAGTTAAATATTATTAACAAAACCTCAACTTATCGGAAAGAGGAATTTGAAGAACAAGAATATAGTCATCAATATGTATAATTATTGTACAATATGAAACAATAATTTCAGTAATCATAAAGAGGTTTCATGAACTTATCTGCAAATAAGAGTTTTTCTATCAGTCTGAATGGCACACACACACACACAAAAGAAAACATAAACTTTGAAGCTGTAACATGAAAATCAAAATAAACTATTCTGAAGCAAAATATGAACTTGTCACTGACTTCAGTATGGGATGACCAGAATAATTTAAGATGGATAGCGTTCAACTATCATGGCGTGACCCTGGAGAACAGAAACAAAAACAATAATCCCTATTTAAATATTGATGCTGTAAATTTTGAACATGGTTAAAATTTAAAAGGATTACACTAATTAAGAAAAGGCAATTGCATATTTAAAAAAAAAAAAAGTCATAGCTTACAGTAGATTTAAAAAACAAAACACAAAAAAAAACAATTTAGAAACCATAACTATCAAATTAACAAAGTTTAGAAATGGACGAACCACCAGGAGTTTCTGCTGGGGTTTACAGATATTAAAAGCAAACAAACCAATAACCCACTTACATGGCCTCCGGCGGCACAAGCTGCCACAAGAGCAAACTGTCCTCCCTCCTTGATAAGTCTATTGGCTGCAGTAGTGACCAGACGCACACCTGTGGCTCCAAAAGGATGTCCCAGGGACAGAGATCCACCCCACCTGTTCAGCTTGTCTATTGGAGGAGCTCCAGGCTGAGTTAACATAGATAAATAAAAGATTTATGGGGGAGAGGACTGTCTTCATTACAATGGGTTTAACTCTTTCAGTCACAGACAATGGTTTGTTAACCCATTCAATTTTCATCATTCAGCCAACTATGAGAGGCATACAGAAAGTAGAGCACACCCCCCCCCCCCCCCCACCCTCATTTTTTTTAAAACTGTATAATGAAGATAGAAATATTAAATACTGAAAAATTCAAAATTTAAATGTTTATATTGTATGTAGGAAAATGCAACTCAATTTTGTCAAACAGAACAATACTTATCCTTAAAATAAAGAAAGTAAGATGACAATGTGTATTACAAAGATCGCCAGTCATTGTTCTGACCAAGTCATTGGTTCCTTTTTCACAGACGAGTGATTTTAAAACTCTCTGCACAAAGACAGGACAAAATTTGGAACATCACTTTGTAAATGTAATCCCTTCCAGTCACCTACTTCCGTCTTTGACCATTTATATAATGTCTGTCTCATAGCTCTCGGCAGAGCTAATGTTAATCTGTTCTGTGGACAGATGTTCCACAAGCTCATGATGGGATAACTGTCGTCAAGTATCTTTTCTCTCCTCTTAACTGTAATTGTTTTAATCAATACTTCCTCACTGTTACAATTTCAACACATCACTAAAAATTGTACACAACTTACAGCTCATAAAAAAAAAAAGATCATTTATGAGTTAATTCACACACTCTACATTGCACTTAAAATTAAAGGCCACACAACATTCATCATAAAACTATCTTTGACACTTAAATACACTTACAGCACACGAGAGTAACTGAACATGACATTTTCTGTACATAGGATCGGCTCAATTAAAAAACAGCTTACAAAAGCACATGAAAGTAAAAAAGCTGCATACTAAACCAGTTTCTTCATGAAAGTAAAGACATACACTTACAGCTCACAAGAGTAAAAACATAAACACACAGCACATGAAAGTAAAGACATACACTTGACAGCTCACAAGATTGAAAAACATAAACACACAGCACATGAATTTCTTCACGTAAAGACATACACTTACAGCTCACAAGAGTTTTAAAAACATAAACACACAGCACATGAATGTAAAGCTCTCGGGCAGGAGGTACACTGTACAGCTCACAAGCTATCTAAAAAACTAAACACACAGATCCATGAAAGTAAAAGTTTTAATCAACACTTACAGCTCACAACACAGTAAAAACATAAACACACAACTATACAGCACATGAAAGTAAAACATACACTTACAGCTCACAGCAGTAAAAACATAAACACACAGCACATGAAAGTAAAGACATACACTTACAGCTCACAAGAGTAAAAACATAAACACACAGCACATGAAAGTAAAGACATACACTTACAGCTCACAAGAGTAAAAACATAAACACACAGCACATGAAAGTAAAGACATGCACTTACAGCTCACAAGAGTAAAAACATAAACACACAGCACATGAAACTAAAGACATGCACTTACAGCTCACAAGAGTAAAAACATAAACACACAGCACATGAAAGTAAAGACATACACTTACAGCTCACAAGAGTAAAAACATAAACACACAGCACATGAAAGTAAAGACATACACTTACAGCTCACAAGAGTAAAAACATAAACACACAGCACATGAAAGTAAAGACATACACTTACAGCTCACAAGAGTAAAAACATAAACACACAGCACATGAAAGTAAAGACACATTTACAGACCATGAAAGAAAAAACCCACACTTACAGCAAATGAAAGTTAAAAACCCACATACAGCCTATAAAAGTAAAAACACTACTTACAGTAAAGATATGCACTTATACTAAAGATAAACGCACTAAACAAAAGGAAACAGACACACAGTAAA